TTTGTCTCTGCTATTGCTCTTGCACAAAATTGCAGGTTTTGGTCTGGTTAGTGAGGATGGTGAACAGCGAGGAAGAGAAAGGAAAGATGGTAACGGAGAGTTAAGTTAATTAACGGACAGTAACGGAAATCAAAAGGTGTAACGGAGTGTGTAAAAAAGGAGGGTAAATCTACCATTATCCAAAAATATTACATTTAAAACACTATATGCATATCAATTACCATAGCATCTCGTAGCATTGGATTTGAGTAACAAGATACAGACATCCAGAAATCACTGTATGAGTTTTTGATTTTTTTTTTTTTTTGGTTTTTCTCGTATTTATTAAAGATTAGTTCATTTTTATTTGACTTGACCATTAACCTGATCGGTAATGGTGAATGGTTTTAAAATTAAATGGAGAACTGGTTCGGTTCGGTCTGTCTCCCTTTCAAGTTCCTTTTCTGCTGGTCTGATCGCTTGGAATGACATTCCCACCTTGGTTATTTGCCTTAAAAATAAGAGTATGTTCTGTAAGTGATGGCGGAGTGGTAATACTTTATTTATTTATTTATTTTCTATAAAAATAATAATTAATAATTAAGTTAAAAATTATTATTAACGAAAGATTTGATCTTCAAAACAAATAATCTTTCATTCCCTCGTTAAGGCATGCAGCCATCGAAGCGCATGGTGAAACTTGCTAATACTTTATTTCATGTGTAAGAAGAATGTTGAAATGTACTGTGTTTGATCCCACCTCTCTCCCCTTTACTCTTTTATCAAAAATATATAATAATGGTTGTAGATAACTATTTCGGTTAAAAAATATTATAAATATATAATAATTGCTGTAGATAATTGTTCTTGTTAAAAAAAAAAACAGAGTGCACGAAGGATAGTAATTGTTTAAGGATTAAACATATATATTTTTTATTTTTTAATTTAAAAGTTTAAAAATTAAAAAAAATATATAAACATATTTAATAAATTAACTATGAAAATAATTAAAAAATATATTTTATATAATTAAAAAATTAAAATAATACATAAAAAATTAAAAATATAAAACCACGTAAACTCTTAAAGTCAAAGGAACAAAATTCATATTTAACCAAACAAAATTGGTGGTATTGGATTAAAGTTAGGATTGGGTTGGCAGAGAGTGATGTACAAAGCGATAGAGATGGACGCGGGGGGAATTGGGAAAACAGAAATATATTCTCAAATTTTAATTTTTAATAAATCAAAATAGTACATTTGACGTGGCAGAATAAGGGAGAGGGTGTTGAAAAGGAGAGTGCAGGAGCGTGCGTTCCTAGCACTTCCTAAAAATAGTATTAATACTATTTAGTGCTATGATTTAAAGAAATATTTTGTGCGGATTAAATTATACAAAATTAATTATTAAATGAAGTGAGTTTTTAATATAAAGTGTGATACTAAAAAATACATAGCAAATATTTATGAGTTCAGTTATTAAAATTTTTTTAAAAAAATTAATTTTAAAAACCGGACAATTTAAGAACAATTGAAAACTTCTTAATAAAGGATAGAAGGTCAATAAGTATTTTTTTTAATATATTACATAATATATTTATTAAAAATTTATATTAAAAAATAAAAAACCCATATAACAATTATGATCAAATTATAGGTTTTGTCATATATCCCTCCTCATTCTCTTTTTATATACACACTATTCAGACCATGATCACTTGCATTAAAAATAATATTAATACCACTTGCTACCATAATTTAAAACAGAATTGTTTTGTAACGTATGGATTATACAATCTAATCATTATATGAAGTTAGATATTTTAATATAAGGATGTTATATTTATGAATAAAAAATATATAGAGATGGGTGTTTTATCTAAAAAAAATACTCCAATGGTGCTCAAAATATTTACCACAAGCACTCATAGGTCCAACTATCAAAATTTCTTTGTAAGGATCTTGAAATTTACACAACCTAAACATAGCTAGTACCCCACTATTAAAAAATAAAAGCCAATAAGGATAGCGAATGTTTTAACATTTTAAATGTAAGAATTTTTGTAAAATTATTTAAGTATTGTTAATAAAAAAATTTTATATATTGATATATTGATTTATTTAAAGGTATTTAAAATTTTCAAAAAAATTTATTAAAGTGAATCTATTAAAATTTTCTTTCAAATTAAATGAAAGTTAAATTTTAAATTTTGTATAAGTAAAAATATTCTAATTAAAATTTTCATATGTGCATTCGGTTTTTTGAAAGATCCAAAATATCTTTTTTTTTTAACAAATAATTAGAATGTTAAGTACTTATTAATTTTAATTACATAAATATTAAAATTAAAAAAAAAACAATAAACAAAACTCTCTTTTTTCTTTCTTTTATTCTTTTGATTAATAATTTTTATTTTAATACTTGTACATAATTCAAAATTTTAGTTTTAGTTATCAAAATTTTGATTTTTTTTATTAATATAATTCATCCAATTAACCAAATTCTTTTAATCTTTTTAAGTAAAAAATATTTTGATTTTTAATCATTAATTAAAGTGAAATATTTTAGTTAACTAAATTTTTAATTATATTAATCAAA